GATATGTTACGTAGTAAAATTTTTGTTAATATAACCATTAGGGCTCTGAAGTTTCAGTCAAACCTGAACCCAAACCTGAACCAAACTTGAAATTTTGATAATCTGCAAACCCAAATCAAATCTAAACTTACAATACTCAAACCTAAACTTACAATACTCAAACCCAAATCAGGCTCAAACATGACTGTAAGTTTAGTTTGGTTTTGACTCAAAAGTTTGCAAACATATTCAGGTTCGATATGTTTTATATATGGTAATAATAATGTCTGAAACTGAAACTGGTATTACTAGTTTCGAAATTACTCTTCTAGACAAAACTTGCTCAAACTCAAAAGTCTAAATATTCAAAACTATGCTAAAACTCCAACATTTAGTTTCCCTATAAAAAATACTTTTCTAACAACAACTATTTACTAAATAATCATTTACACAACAATTACAACTTCCTATCATTTCTCTAAAACACCTCTTTTCTGACACTATCTCTTCTCTAACACCTAGTATGAACACTTCTCTGATTGCATTTTTCTAACAACCTTTATTTAAAAAAATAAAATTTAAATTAAAATAACGTAAAAAAAAAGAAGACAAATCAAATTTTAAGATCACATAATGCTGTAATATAAAGTTTGTAACTCAAAATTTCCTATATAGTAAAATTTTGTATTACAAACTTTATATTATAGCATTATGTGATCTTAAAATTTGTAAAATTTTCAAATTTAGAGGTTAAGTATTTAATTTTTAATTAAATTTTTATTTTTTTAAAATGCACTTATATAATAGAAGCGAATGTCGATATTACATAACTGATCTTTCACCTGGTATGCAACATATAAAAAAATTATTTTACAATACCAGATCATTCTGCTAGTACATATTATAATTATAATCCAATATATTTAATTATAATAAAAATAGTGTTAGATTATAATCATAACATGTATTAGCAGAATGATTTGGTATTGTAAAATAATTTTTTTATATGTTGCATATGAGATAAAAGATTAGTAGTATAACATCGACGTTCTCTTCTAATTAATGGAAATATAATGATAAAGATAAGTTCTTTTTTTTTATTCATTGTTTGTTGTTCTTTATTATTAATTAAATTTTTTTTTTATATGTAGGATATACAAGGTCATAATTTTTTCTACTTGATGTTTTCACTTTTTGGTATCATTGCTTGCCAGTATCATCATACTTAGTATTATCATTTGTAAGTATCGTCGCATTATCCAGTAGTATTTTCATTTGTTGTTACCTAGTAGCATCTTCGCAAGTTGGTCTGTAATGTTACTCTACCTGCCTGTTATTACCTTTGCTTGTCATTACCTAATTGTGCTAGTTTATCAGTATCATCGATTGTAGTGTTAACAGTAGGGTGTGAAATGTTCAATTTGTCATTTAACTTCTTGTGTATAGCTTTACAGTGTCTTGTTAAATACAAGTATTTTTTGGTTAATATAGTTATTATCGTTATAATGTGAATTACTATGAGGATAGGTAATGAAAACAGGAGATAATCACATGGTTCTAAATATGTAATTAGTAATGTATTTAAAGAGCTTTTGCTTAGTAGAAGAGATTATTTTTCTTTTTGCTATCGCTTGCTTTGGAGTTAAGGCTAGCTCTATCATCCTACCCTCCTGCCTATTGGTTAGTACTGTTAGGTTTTGTGGCTGTTATTAGCAGATTAAGGACTTCATATTGGCAGCTGTTATAAGCAGCACAAAAACTTTCTATTTGATATATGGGTTCTGTGGCTACTATAAACAGTGTAAGGGCCTTGTGTTTGATATTTAAAGCTCTATAATTGCTATAGGTCTTGTGTTTGTATTTAGGCTTCATAGCTGTGGTAGGCAGCGCATGAACCTTGTATTTTGGTAACTAAACCCTGCAGTTGCTGTAGGCAGTGCAAGAACCTATGTCTTAGTAATATTCATGCTATCAATATCTTTATAGCTATATGATTCCTTCTCAGCTACGATATGTTTATATGTGATTATAGACATGCAATAAGTTATAGGATTGTTTGAGATAAAATATTCCTTTAAAGATATAGCTATTTAAGTTTAAACATATTTGGTATAGAGTATGTAAAATCTGTAAATGATAGTGGAAGGATTTCTATACGTTTTTCTTTGTCTAAATAAAGTCATCTGAATGAGCAATAATAATAATAAGTATTTAAACTGTAGGATAATAAGCTTTAATACGCCTTTTTTTAGTATTATTTAAAAAAAAAATTTTTTAATTATAAAAAAAAAGCCACACACCCGTATTACTGATCACTGACCCATGATATAAAAACCAAGTATATAATTTTGTGCAGCTTTATCACCAATAATAATTTCTTCTTCCTCAATTCTCATATTTATTTTTTTAGATTTTTTTATAATTTTTTCAATAGAATTTTCTCTATTACGATATTTAACATCCTATAACATATTTCTAAATTTATCTTCATCTCCTTTTTCGAATATAATTTGTGTAGTTCTTTTTTCTTGATCATCATTCTATTTTCTATTAAATTTAATTATATAATCTAATCTACATTCAAATTGGTTAAAACCTTTCTTATTATCATCTTCTCTACCATATTGTCTGAAATTATAAGCTTCTTCAGATGGTTTAGTAGCTGTTAAACAAATATATTTAGCCAAAAAGGTTCAAAATTACCATATTTATATTCAACTTCAAAACAAGAATCATTTAATAAATTTATTATTTCATTCCAATCAATCTTTGTATAAAATTCATCAATTAAACTATTTCTTGTCCAATGTATTCATTCTAATATGAACTATTTGTTCATTGCTTCTTTGGTTTATCATAAAGTTCATTACGAAATAATTTTAAAAACTATTTAGTTTTTCCTACACCACTAGGTCTATAACAATAAAATGTAAGTGGATACCAAAATCCTTTTCTTTTGTATTTTTTTAAAAATTTTTGTTTATCATTAATAACTTTTTCTGTATTTGTTGGTGTTGTAAACCAATTAGCTAATATTTTATTTTTATCAAGTACTACTTGTTCATAAGCAAGTTCTTGGTTATAAATTTTAATCATACATTTTATATTATCTAATTGTAATTTATTTATATCTTCATATATATTATTATTATCAGAACCTTCTAAAAATCGATAAGTTCCAATTCAAATAGACCAATTATATCTGATAATAAATATCTATCATCTCATCTTACATATAAACGAATACAATTTGTATTACAATATTCACATATTAGTGATAAATCAAAATAATCGCATTGATATTTAGAATGTACTTTGCAACAATTATAAGTTTTCATAATATAATTTTTATTTTGCTCTAAATTACCTGCAAGAAATTTTACAAGTAATACAGAATTATCATTAAGAATAGTTTTTTATAGATTTTATAGTTAACGTTTATTAAACTGTATATACATTTGTATATAAAGTTTACCAGAACTAGTAACTTCAAATTGACCACAAATATATGATATATTTTTATTAATTTCATTGAATGCTGTTTGTTCAATAGATAAAGAACATATACAATCTTTTTCATTTGTTATACAATAATTATATTTTATTTGATTATATTTATTTAATCACAACATTTCGTACATTTTTTTTTTTACAATGCTAATGTTATGCTAAACAAAGAGAATATTTTGAAACTCCAGTTATCTGATATTCAAGCTCTTGTTCTTCTTTATCTTTTAGTGATAATGTTTTATTATATTTAAATTTATTTTTACAAGGAATATAATGAAAACTAGTTGCACAATTATAACGAAATTGTAATCACATTTTTTTCGAATTTTTTTTAAAAAAAATATCTATTATATAAATAATTTTACTTTAATCAATATAAATAAATTAATATAAATAATACATAAAAAATAAAAAAAACT